CGGGGGTGGGGGCGGTATCTCAGAAGCCTGAGAAGACTCATTCTTCTCTGGCACTTTCAAATCCTCCTGTGTCCCTTTCAAAATTACTTCTTCTCCGCCAAATGCTTTTGAGATGATATCTGGAGGCAGCAATAAGTCTGCACTGGTTTCTTTTACCACAGGTAGAGGTTTGATGGTGGCTCCAGAAGATTTTATAGACAAAAAAGTGTTCAAAGGTGCTGGCTTGCTTACTGTTGCAGTTACAGACTTGCGCAGAATCATGGTGGGAACTGGCAGATTGGGTCGAATTTTTGCTTGTGTTGAAGTAGAAGAGACTGGTGTCCAGGGGCTAGTGTGTGGTATCACAGTTTTCCCAGAAAGTTTTATTTCAATGGGCTTCACATGGGGTTTTCCAGACGGAGACTTACCCTCCTCCTTATCTTTGTTTCCTTCAGCATTCTCCTCCTTTGGGACAGCTGAAGCTGCTCCTAGGCTCTTATCCTCTTTCTCATTCTTCTTCCAGCTGAACTTTCCAAAGGAGGACTGAGTTGCAGATTCCTCTTTCTTTTCTTCTTTCTTCTCTTCTTTCTTCTCTTCCTTCTTCAGTTTAAGCTTAATTCCAAGTTTTCGCCCAGCAGGATCTATTCTGCCTGGAGTACTTTTGGTTTCATTAGGCCCTTCTCCCAGCTCTGGAGTGCTCTTTGTTTCCTCTTTCTTTACTACTTTTGCCTTCTTCTCATCTTTCTCTTCTTTCTGCTTTTCACTCAGTTTTCGTTTCAGCTCATTTTGTCGCCTGCGTTCTGTTTCCAGGACCACAGCCAACCCGGCCTGACGGTCCAGGTTTCTCCTCTCTTCATAGAGTGGATTTTCATCCACATATTTCTGTGAAAGAGAAATGGTACAGTGTCAATAGCAATTATGAAATAAAAATTCTACTCTGGAGCAGTTTAGACTCGTTAAAACTTGCCAGTTCAGCACTTTATGAAGAACAGAGAACTACTTCCTACCATGAACCAGGGCTTCATAGACCCAGGATTCTGTAACTCATTGCTAAGAAAGTACTCAAGTTATCTCCTATATTTAACCAAACTGTCTGGAAATCAGCACTGGGATTGAAGCGTGACAACTTCAACATCATGCACATGAAAGATGACCCTCTATCATAGCAGGCAACTTTTAATTCTTGCTCTTAGTCTATTTATTTGGCTCAGAACTAAATGGTAAAGCTATTCAAGTGTATAAATTAAGGAGTTAAATATTATTTCTAATAAAAGAGAAGAAAAAGAAGAAAAAGTACAAGCTAAAAAAGCAATGGCTTACTCCTGGTACACAATGTACAAACCTTATATTTCTCATTGTGAGGATGACTTTTCACATGTTGCTCTGCTGAGATCTGATCTCCAAAAAATTCATGACAGAGCTGGCAATAATATCCAGTGATAGGAATCAGAAACTCAGAGCCTGAAAAGGCCAAAGAAAACAATCAGATAGTACAAGAATATAATCAACCTTTAATAAAAGCCAACCAAAAAAAAAAGTGTGTCTCAAGTACAAGGATCAATGAAACCTCTGGCAATGTTCCCTGTTCATGCACTTGTACAAGTGGTGATAGTGCTATTTATAATCCTGATAAAAGAATCTTCACTAGCAGTATTCCCTACATTTTTTAAAAACACTTAATAACAAAGAATTATTTTCAGTTCTTTTATTCAATCACACTAGTACTTCTTGGAATATCAACCGGCTTTTTATTTTCTCACTTATATCAACTACAAATTCCACTTAAAACGCTTAGGATTGCAAGATCATCTTTAGGAAAAAACACTCAAAAGTCAACAGCAACAAACATTGAAGAAACAGGCAACTCTGTTAAAAGAGTTTAACTCATTGCATTTTTATGCCCACAAAAAGCAAGCTGCAGTAATCCAACCTACAGCAAAACCTCACTGAGCCATTACTGAAGTTGTATGAAGATTAAAACAAGTTGGTAAGTACATTTACTAACTGCTACCAGGACTGAAGTGCACCATTTTACTCTTCGTCCTTTCCTCATGGTTCTCTCAAACCCATTCCATTCATTGCAACCCATCAGGTTATCCACCACGAATGTGTTTCTGTGACTCTCAGAATCAAAACATCACAGATAAAGCAAAACTACCTAATACAAGGCAGCTGAAATACTGCTCAAGTCCACACATACCACACTACTTTTTACAAGCACTTTCCAGCTCCTAGTTCTTCATCTGTAGATCTGAGCATTTCATGTAAGAAAGTCACCTAACATTTGGAAAAAGCAACTATCAAGGAAGTTAAAACCCACCTGTTTTCCTGAGACCTTATTCCATTTGCTTTTCAACATGAATAACTACAGAATGAAACATTTACACCTATTCTGAATGGCTACCATTAGCTAATAACATATGGCTGCAGCGCTCATTTGATGTACCTCTTAGCCAAACACTTCAGTGCTCCAGAAATAAAGGCTAATGTTGAAATTGCAAAATACTGCCGTAGCAATCACTTTGCAGTAGCTGCTCTGAACAAAGCAGGGGGAACCAAACTAACTCTCCCACAAGACATGCGATGGAACTCAGCAGTGGACTGTTTTGACCAATATATTGAGAACTAGACTAATCCGATGATAATTCGTGAACAAAACTGTGACAAAATAGATGGAAATGTCATAGCCAAAGTTCTCAACATTCGGCTTAAGAGAAATGTAGAACATATGCTGACTATCCTGAAACCTATTTCCATAGCCTTGAACAATGTACAGGGAAATCGGTGTTTTATTGCTGATGCTGTTTAAATTTAGAAGAGACTGAGTGAGACCTTGAAAAGAGAAATATGCAATGACAGAGTTAAATTACAGGCATTAAAAAAAATAAATGGATCATCAAGCACTATCTCCAGCTCATTTTCTTGCCAATAATCTCAGTATTCTGTACCAAGGTCAATCCTTAAACTGTTGAAGAAGAGGAGCTGGCTACAGCACAGACATCTAGCAATAATCTCTCTATAATACCAACTTTAATACATTTCAGGGCTAAGGGTAAACCATTCAAGAAATATATGGTTGCTGGTGAAGTTTTAAAGGAAGTCACACTAGTGAACTGGTGAAAGTCACTTAAGCACCTGGATTCATCAGAGACTACTGAAGTGGTAATCCAGTTTATAACAACACTAGCTTCTTCTGCAGGTATAGAAAAATATTTTCTTCCTTTGGACTAATTCATTCTAAATTGGGATATCTCTTGGGAACTGAAAAAGCAAGAAAGCTCATCTTTCTTTTCCAATCTATGAACAAATAGGAAGAGGAAGGTAAAGACTGAGTTTTCTGCATACGCTTCTCATGTTGACCTGGCTGAAATAATCCATTAATTTTTGTTAAAAGACACTTCACACATTTATAACTAAAATAGTTTAAAAAAAACAAAAAATCAAAAATACGTATGCTTGTTTTGTTAAAATAATTATACATGTTTATTGTTATACCTCCTCAGCTCGCAGTTGTAGGGAGGCAGTTAGAAAGGCCAAAGCTATCATGGAGCTGAGGATGGCATCCCAAGTTAAGGATAACAAAAAATTGTTTTTCAGATATATAGGAGTAAAAGGAAGGCCCAAGGTGGTATAGGACCACTACTGAATGGGCACAAGAAATTGATGACAGACCGGGGGGGGGGAGAGACACAAGGCTGAACTCCTCAATGAGTTCTTTGCCTCATTGTTTCTAAACGAGGGGCAAAACAAGTCTCACAATGGGATTGTACAGAGACAACAGCAGGGCACCAGTCTACCAAGCATTGACCCTGAGATGTTGCAGAGTCACTCTGAAGGACCTGATGCATTTAAGTCAGCAGGCCTGGATGAGCTCCATCCAAGGGTACCAAAGGCACTGGCTGATGTCATTGCACAGCCACTGGCAAGATTATCTGAGCACTCGTGGCTCACGGGCCAGGTCCCGGAGAACTGGAAAGGGCCAATGTGGTCCCTATTTTCAAGAAGGGAAGGAAGGGAGGATCCTGGCAACTACAGGCCAGTCGGTCTCACCTTCATCCTTGGTAAAGTCTTTAAAAAGATTATTAAGGCTCATATATGTGAGAGCCCAACAGGAAAAATTATGCTGAGAGGAAACCAGCATAAGTTCGTAGCAGGCAGATCATACCTGACTAATCTAGTCTCCGTTTATGACCAGGTTACAAAACACCTGGACGCAGGAGTAGGGGTAGATATTGTTTACTTAAACTTCAGGAAGGCCTTCGATACAGTATCCCAACCGATACTGGTGAACAAATTAAGAGGCTGTGACTTGGATGATTACACAGTCCAGTGGATGGCAAATTGGCTACAGGGTTGTACCCAGAGAGTGGTAGTGGATGGGTCGGTAATCAACCTGGAAGGACGTGGGCAGTGATGTCCCGCAGGGCTCGGTCCTTAGACCAATACTCTTCAATGTCTTCATCAGTGACTTGGAGGAGGGAGTGAAGTGTACTCTGTCCAAGTTTGTGAATGATACAAAACTGTGGGAGAAGTGGATACACTGGAGGGCAGGGAACAACTACGGGCAGACCTGGACAGGTTGGACAAATGGGCAGAAAACAATAGAATGCGATTTAACAAGGAGAAATGCAAAGTGCTGCACCTAGGGAGGAAAAATGTCCAGCACACCTACTGCCTAATGACCTGCTCAGCAACATAGAAGCAGAAAGAATCTCAGAGTCCTAGTGGACTCCAAGATGAACATGAGTCATCAGTGTGATGAAGTCATCAGCAAAGCTAACTGCACTTTATCAAGAAATAACAGCCATAAGCTAGCAGACAGCAGATTTAGACTGGACATTAGGAAGAACTTCTTCACAGTTAGAGTGGCCAAAATCTGGAATGGGCTCCCAAGGGAGGTGGTGCTCTCCCCTACCCTGGGGGGTCTTCAAGAGGAGGTTGGATGGGCATCTGGATGGGGTCATCTGAACCCAGCACTCTTTCCTGCCTATACAGAGGGTCGGACTCGATGATCTATTGAGGTCCCTTCTGACCCTAACATCTATGAATTGTTGAAGAAAAAGAAATCCAAAATATATGTTTGTTGTTTCAGTTAAACAAAACAATTTCAATGCCTGTTGTTTTTCATGACAGTGGTTGTTATCATCCTAATATGGCATGGCAAAAATATCCCCCAAATATACATGATTAATCTAGTGAGCTGGAGACAGTTCACCTCCAAATGATTTCACAAGTATCTGCTTCAATTAGCTTTGGTAAGTAAAATAACCAAATCATAATTGTTTTCTGATGTAGCTGCAAAATCAATCTAAAAAAAAAAATCAAAACAAATCGCTGCTTTAAAATGTATAGCATGTACCTTCTAAAAATGAAACCTACATCTAGCTCTGAGTAGTGAATAATATGTATTAAGGTTGTATCAAACAACAAGAATGCACTTTTTGCAGAAAACAGCAATTACATTGAGGCTTCATGATTTAAATCTCAATTTAAATCCAATTCACCTTGTCCTTGAGCAGCTGGAACCTGCTGGAGGACAGAGTGAGGCAATATCTAGGAGAAATGGAAGTAACGTACCTTTGGCGGGGACAGTTATCTTATCAATGCGTCTTATAGAATCTTGTTTGGTCTCACTCTGGGTCTTCGATGCCCAAGGTCTGTTGTAAGGATCCAGGGTCTATTTGCACAGTGACAGAGGCATACAGGCTCATACATTGCAACAGCAAGGCAATTACACCTTTCTGTTTTTCCTTTTAACATCATTTTACAACATTAAAAATCACAATTACAATGAAAATATTTACAAGAATAATATTCTCCCTTTTCCCTCCCCCTTTTCCAATTTTTTAAAAATGTTTCTTCTTATTAAAAAACCTGTGAAAAGGCTAAAATGTAAAAGGCATGGCAGAGTATGAAATGCATAATCTTTAATGCTTGTCCCCTATTGAACTAAATAAAAAAGCCCTGTTTCCCTAATCAAAAAGCACTGGCCGCTACACAAACTTCCAGAGTTTGACAGTAGGCAAACAACATTCCTGCCAGATTGCTCTCCTGCAAAATGGTATTTTGTGATTGATACTCAGAGCATTATTCCGAATAGCAGCACGAAATCTACTTGAAGACGATGACCTGACACATACCTGTCTGTGTTTCTTATTGTGCATGTGTGTAAAAAAGTCAAACATGGTCCCACAGATGGTATTGCAGTCTTTGCACCAGTGGTTCCCTGCATCATAATATTCATAAATATTGGCCAACTGGAAAGGATGCTTTGATGACAGTGAAGAGGATTCTGCAGGCTTGGGACTTTTACCTCTGGACTTTTCATTAGCTGTTTTTGACTCCTAAATTAAACAAAAGGAAACATTTTTCTAAGACACAGCAGGACACACATGGTGCTTTGGAATGCAGAACCTGCCTCCAACAGAAAATATATTCACACACAAAAAAATATATATATATCACCTGCTGGTCACTGCCCAGGCTAATTCCACTGTTTCAGGCATTGCTCAGATGCTGCGTGGTCACAGTGAAGAGCTTCCGATAAGATTCCCAGAAGCAATGGCTGGATAGTAGGTAGGTAATCAAGGAACCAATAAGCAGATACCCTAAGGCATGCGCCCTTCCTAAATTCAAGGGTTGTGCGGAATAGCTGTACAGTATTAGAGTACTAGATAATACCTAAAATGCAGCTCAATATCAGTATGTGGTTATTGTAAAACTAAGTTGCAAGGAAATAAAACAAAAATGAAGCAAACCAGTTGAGTTAAACTATTATCTGATAAATAACATCCAGCAATGTTAAATAAAGCCTGTCCTCTCCAGCAGGTTCATGGCTTTTAAAGGAGCTAGAAATAAACCCTTTTACTGAGGTTTATATGATACACCAGTGTCTTGTGCTTTAGATACTTGATACCTACTTGGTTTCCAATGATTTGGAAAGGCAAAAACAATACAGTAAGGGACCCTAGAATTTTTAAAGCACTGGTCAAGAGGAATATTTTTAACCAGGAATCCTGATGTGGAGACAAAAAACAAAACAAAACAAAACAAAACAAACAAACAAAAAAAAAAAAAAATCAAACAAGCTCTCAGAATGGAACTTAGTCAGCCCTACTGGCTTAGATTAGTAGTTCTAGATATGTCAGTTGGTGGACATGGAGAACATGTAGAAATCAATACATGATTTACCCAAAAAGCAAGGAAGCATGTACATGGAATCAGAGAAATGAGTTTGTCTGTGCTATTATTTTATAGACGTACATAATTTTGATCTTATAAGATAATGTGTAAGCCACCTTCCTTTAGAACAATCATGCCATCCTGATGAGTGATGGCAGTCATCTTTGCACCCTTTTAGGTATGTATATTTCAACAGAAAGCAAGCACCATGTACATTACAGGCTAGAACTTTAATGTGGACAGAAACTGTAGAGAAAACCTTAAAGAAATATATCTTATTGGGTTATCTTGTTTTGGAAAGCAACCCAGCAGGATTGGCAGTTCAATTCTACAGTTTTCAGCTTCTGTATTTGTAGAGGTTTTGTGCCACTACACTGAGCATCAAGACTCAGTGATAAATACAAAGAAACATATGCAAGCCAAGAAGTTTATTTCAACTTTGCAGCAGGGCTAGAGCAACCTTTTGTTATTAGAAAAGGTAATCCCAATTATTACTAGCTGAAGTTACCAACAAACTTGTGGGAGCAATGTCAGAGATTAATTCTAGTATTTTATGCATCTATAGGTGCCTGTCAGAAGAGACCAGCAATTTCTGGCCAGGGTAGAGAATTTTCCAAATTAAAGTAAGCAACCATCAAAGGGTAACCTGCTTATTATGGATATAACGAAGTAAAAACGCAAGTCAAAATAACAATAGTGGTATGCATCATAGTCTAATCAGGAATGAGCCAAATGGTGGCCTGCAGTCCCCATGTGGCTCCCAACAGGGTGGCATGAGGCCCATGGACTCCTACCTGGCTGCCAACATGTACCCCCTTTCCACATCCTGCTTTTACAGGAGCCAGGAAGGGGCTGGCCAAGCTACTTGCACTGTGGGGCTACCCACACGAAGGGGAGGGATGCTCACTGGACAGCAGAGATCAGAGAGGAGAGGGAACCAGGCTGCCTGCATGGTGAGGGATGTAGGGGGTGGGGAGTTGGGTTGATCATGCAGTGTGGGAGAGCCAGGAAAGGGAATCCACCCGCCTGTGCAGCGTGCAGTCCCCACATCTGTGGCCCACATGGTGTGCGTGCCCCCCTGGCTGCTCAGAAGTGGGCAGCCCTGGTCTAAACTTATCCCAAAATACATGTATGTTCCTGCTAAGACCCAAGAGAGAAAAACAAGACAATTTAAGATGATGGAAAATTTACATGAATAATCACTACTTTAGTTCCACTGTTTCTGCATCTGATTCGAATACTCTAAAGAAATAAAGACTTCATTTCAGACCTACATTTCTTTTCTTACTATAGAAGTAGGGCTGGGAAGATCTCAGGGTCAAACCAAAAAAGAGAAACGAGTGGGGGGAAAAAAAATCTAAATTCTTCACTGATTTCAGTGATTTTGCTGGGAGAAGGAAGGGAGGGAAGAGAAACTATTACCCTTCATTTCCCCTTGCCACTCTTCCTCTTTGCAAAATTCAGTATGGTGAAGTCTACAGAAAAAAACATTCATCATGAATGCCTTTAGCCCACCAAAATACATTAGTTCCTCGATGAGAAAGTCAACATATCTGTTTTTCACATACAGGCATACCTCGGAGATATTGCGGGTTCGGTTCCAGACCACCGCAATAAAGCGAATATCGCAATAAAGCAAGTCACACGAATTTTTTGGTTTCCCAGTGCATATAAAAGTTATGTTTACACTACACTGTAGTCTATTAAGTGTGCAACAGCATTATGTCTAAAAAAAAAAATGTACATACCTTAATTAAAAAATACTTTATTGCTAAAAAATGCTAACCATCATCTGAGCCTTCAGCAAGTCAATCTTTGTGCTGGTGGAGGGTCTTGCCTCAATTTGTAAAAAACACAATTATCTGCAAAGCGCAATAAAGCGAGGTATGCCTGTACCCTTGAGAGATGCTGTATGAAAATCACAGGTACAAATTCTGAAGCAACAGTCCCCAGGAATGGAGTAAGCCTATTGTGGCATTGTCAACCCTTTAAATATAGAGGCCATATGAGGAATGATGGTCTTCCTCAAAAGTGAAGACAGGTGTGAACCAATAAGGGCAAATATCAACATCAATGTAAGTCTTGCTCTGATCACTTAGCTCTTCCTTCATGAACCGTTTTAATGCTGTAAGAAGGCTTGCACACTCAGATGACCCTGACAGCTATGTCAGTGAGGTTATAGCTCCCAGTAGAGCCACTCATGTCAGATAGGTTGAAGGGCATGTGATTAAACCAGTGGTAGTCCATGGGCCCTCCTGGGTTGGTGAATGGGTTGACAACCCAAGAAAACAAACTTTTCACTACTGTTCAGTCTAAGTTTAAACTCACCAAAGCTTCTCAGAAGACACAGATGCAAAGCGTCCACGCCTGCAAGGAAGCTGCACTGTCAGCAAATTTGCTTCTAATCTCAATCAGCTACTAAAACCAGTATACAAAGACACTAAATTGAATTAAATCAGTGGTGTTCAACCTCTGACTCACAGGCCAAATCTGGCCCACGGAGTCATGTCATCTGACCTGTATGGCTCCTCACAGGTCTGGAAATGTGGTGATAGGGGAGCAGGATCAGCAACAATTAATGCTGCCACTGCTCCCCTACCACCAAATGTCCAAAGCCACAGGGAGTCTCATGGTCCAGATGGCATGGTCCTGTGCGCCGGCCCACGTCAACATATGGTCAGATCCAGTGTGCAGGGTCACGTTGTGGCACCAAATCATACAGGCAGACTGACCCTGTGTTCTGACCCTGCACTGGAATCAGGCCCGCAGACAAACCCCATGTGCAGGATCCAGCCTGACAACTAGCTCTACACCACTCATCCAGCCCATGGGGCCAGAGAGGTTAAGCACCACTGGATTAAATGATCTCCAAGAAATGGCGAAAACAGATGCCTCCCCCAGTGCTCTGTCCTCACAACATGGAAACTGTTTTGGACATAGATCCAAGAACTTACCTTGTTGGAGGATGTCGTTTTCTCTACACCTTTAAAATTTTCTGACTTGCTATTTTTTTCTGAAGAATCTTTAGTTTCCACAGGTGGTTTCCTGGGTTTTTCACAAATGTTAATCCCCAGGATCTGGGCTACTTTGTCAAGCTCAGATTGCTTCTTGTCTGCTGCATCAGATTCCTTGTGCAACTCTGAAATCTCCTTCATAATATTCTCTTGCAGTCGGTTTACTTCTACCAACAAGGGGTCTTTGTGTCCATCCTTCTCCCGACGTTTCTTCCGCAACATCTCCCCTGAGCCAATTGATGAGGTGGAGGGGTAAGGAGTGCAAGAGCAAAATAATGTTAAAATGTAGTATTATTCCACTCATAAAAATAACTTAAATTGATAATGTTAATGTTTTTGACCAGGAAGAAGTGAAGAATGAAGCTGTGCTCTTGGCAATGTCTTCACATTAGATCCATTAGGTCTGTTTATAAAAAGGGCCCTTCTAGCAAAGTATCTCAAATTGTGTGACCAAAAAAAATCCTTGGCTTTCTTCACAATGTTCAATAAACAGACACAAACTGTACTCTGAAATGACCTTCTCCCCTACAATTAAATAAGCCTGCCTTAACTCAGTAAAAAGTTTTAAATTACCCCAAAATATGTTTGGGTGTATTAAAAAATGTATTCTCTCCAGATTAAATTAATCAAAATAGTGAAATGCAGGTCAACACTGGAATGCAGAGCACAGTGTGCTTATTTGTCAAGGTGCCCAATGGCACATTCTAGAAAGTTGGAACAAAGTCTTGACCTATGTACCTGCACTCAGTACAAACAGGCTGCAGCTTGAAAAACTTGTTGCAGCATAGCAGCTACATTCACCAATAGAGACAGAGGTAATGAAGTGACTATATCACGGCTCTGTAAAGAGTTCTGGGGATGCCTAGAGCAGGGAAATACGCCCTCTCTCACTTTAGCATATTATTCTGGTCTACATGTTTCCTATTCTAAGAAGTGCAGTGCTGCACACAGGGCCTTGGGAGCACATTTTGGTGAGAAAAGGAAAATAGGTGAAGGTGCTGTACCTTGCTGTTTACGCAGTCTATCCAATTCAGTTTTGAGATAGTAGAGCTTCTTCTGACGGGCTTCCCGCTCATTCTTCAGCTTCTCTCTCTCTTCTATGACCTAACAAAGTTGGGAAGAGAAAGGCATGAAACACCCAGTGCCTTTCAGCACAGCTAAGGCAGAACTGTCTAAGTGACTGCTAAACCTGGGATTACAGCTCACTGGATATTAGTTATTAAAAATAACTGTTCTTAAAATACTCTTTTGTGTTACCCTTTAATACAATAAACTAAGCTGACTCTCTCCCGCCAAGTTATTTTTGTACACACTATCTGTGTCAATTTTTCAATCCATTGAAAGATATGGAAAAAAAGATCACCACTGTATCAATACATGATTTTGTCCTCAAACTGCTGTTACCATTATTGTACTGATAATAAATGTTGTGACAGCAAAACCTCATTTAGCTTATTATTCAATCAATCATTGGGAAGAGCACATAGAACAAGCCTCAGGCTAGCATCCCTAAAAGCTTGTAACATCTATTTTTAGAATATTGCTCATTGGCAGTATACAAACCAAGCCTGATTGGTTTGTAAGCCCAGTAAACAGTATTTATTGTTCCTTAGGAAAGAAATACTACAGTGTAAACAGAAGTAAAAAAAATGTTTTTCCCCTCCCAAAATACTTCATGTTGACCTATTAACTTCAGTGAAAGCAGAGCTAATCCAAAATTGAGCACTTCTGATGACAGCACATTCTCTCACTTCCTCACTGAAAACTTAAAAAATATAAACTTTGTCTAGCTTTTTCTATGCTACCCTTGGTTTTAGTAATTCACGTTTTTGCTTCAGTCCTATCTTACCTTCGCTTATAATACTGTGTACATTTTATAAACACACCTATCTTCTGTTGAGTCACTGACTACAGACAGATGTTCAAATAGTCTGGGAGAGAATTCTCCCAGGTTTGTTCTCCTGGTAAAAAAACCTACCCAAAGACATTCAAATATTGAGCCCTTGAAGATCAGAGCTTGCAATGATAACACTCCACAGCCATGGGGCCTCTGTTCACACATCTCAGTGTGGTCTGTAGACAACTTCAGTCTGCCCAAAGACAGATGGCAATAGTGCACAGGGCAGCCTTGAGTGGCTAACCCAGACTGCTAAGAGAGTTAGCCTGTCTCTCCCTGTAACACAATGTGGGATTACAAAGAGGGCATTTTCTGGTCCCTGCTCAGCTGGAGCAACAGAGTCCAGCAAGAGACGCACTGTTACCTGGTGGGGGGGGGAAGCAAAGCACCCTGGGATGCTGGGGGACTATGCTGTGGCTTCTCTCAGAAAAAGAATTTGCTCTCCCAGGAGAAACTCTCCCAGAAATGATTTAACTCTGATTGTTCCTGGGTTGATCCCCCACCCCCCCCAAGTAACCACTTTTTACTCAGAAAAATCCTGAGCACCTGTACTCATCATTTCTCCTAAGACAGCAGAAGAAACTGAATGTCTCTATGTGGCTCTTGGAAGCTGAGAACATCTTGCTTAATATATTAAAGATAACACTCAAGGAACATTGAAATGATAATGTAAATGAGCTTCTATTAACATAACAGTACTCCTTTTGTACAGAATGCACATTTTCAATGAAACCTAGTGAGTTCTTTCATTTTCCCTTGCAACTTTGTTTCTAGAGATGCAGACTAGATTGTCACCACAATGAATTTTCAGAAGTTTATTACTGCCACCATCCCATATTAAAAAAAAAGGGGATGTAAATCAATGTTAAAAAGCCTTTGGACTTGATCAGCAGTACAAAATTCTACCAGTAATACTATGTCAACTGGAATAGGAGTATGTTATGCCTTTAGCTAACAATATATGCTAAGAGACATTGGTGTAGAAAGAACTATGCCAAAAAAATGCCAGCAGAGCTTAAGTCTTTCAATAAAGTGTTGTAGATACGCCAGCATAAACCCTCCTCCCGCTGCCACATGCTGTATTCTCCACTTGAAATTCTGTTTATACAGCTATGTGGGCATAGCCATAATGACAGCAGCTCTGAAAGGAAGATGTACCTTTACCTTATTTTAGGAACACAGACTTGAACAGATGACCTCTATCTGAACTCTGTTCTGAGAATATTTATAGGTCCCTCTAATAATCTGTGGTTCTGAATCAAATTCTCTTACTAGAAAACATCCCTCTCTGCTGCCCTCTGAATGATCCACAGTAACAGGCAACTGTACTATGCAAGGGCAATAGTAAAACTAGTTGTATAGAAGTGGTGTCAAATGCAGTGTAAACTTAGTATACCAAGGAAAATATGATCCCTCCTAGCTCTTCTTTCTAACACATTATAAAATATTTTGAAAAGAGGGAAAAATCCACAGATCAATATTTACATTAAAACTGACTCCATCCTTTAATACCTATTTAAAAATGTCTAATGTATCCACCATTGTAATATCATTGTTTTATGCACTGTAACAGGGAGCCAGGGGCTCCTGTTACTTTCTTAAGAGAGTGGAGCAAACTAAGCTGGCTGTGTGGGGCTTCACCAAGCTGCACAAGCTGACCCTTAAGTAAAAGGGAAACTCCTGGGTGCAGCTGGGGGAACCACATGACAGCAAGAGGGCACGGCTTTAAGGCATATAAGCCCAAGGCCTAAGCCAAAGCAGGTAGTCTGGACCTGGAGGCTGAGAGGGCCAGTTATGAGAAACAGTTTGCAGAGTGCCAGCAGAGCCATGCTGAGCTGGCCAAAAGTAACCAGGGATTACGTGAAGACGCCTTGAGACAGACATTAGAATCTCAGATGGGGACAGGATGCCATGACTGCAAACTGGCTGCAGGAAATAGGACCATAAACACCCTAGCTACCCATAACAGACGCACCAAAACAGCTAAGGGGAAAGGGGGAAGCAGCAAGGTATTGTCCCAGAGCACAGAAGAAGTTTTATAGATGCCATTTGCTTATATTTTGACTATACTTGTGTTTATGTTTGTTTAGGTAACTTGAGGACCGGACTGTGGCTATGGAGGTAGATGTGAAGGCTATGGAGAGGTGTCTGGTAGGGCACTCAGTATCAGGCAGCTTAGCCTGGGTCAAGAACCAGAGGGCTGAGGCAGCGAGGGCAGCCTGGCTTGGAGTCAGGAACCCTGAGGGCTGGCCCAGAGCGCACGAGAGTGGGAAGGAGCAGAGCTGCTGTATATGGGGCATGCTTGGATGTCAGAGGCAAGGGTGAAATGATAGGATTCATACTGCATGGCGCACATTGTGATA